TCCAAGGTGGCTGAGGCGCGGCCGGACCAAATGTCTCCCTTCCGGGCGGCCGGGGCCCCGCGGTGTCCCGCCGGTGTCCCGCCGGTGTCCCGTCGGTGTCCCGTCGGTGTCCCGATGATGATGTTGATGATGATTATGATGATCATTACGATGATGATGGTGATGATGATGATGATGATGATGATGGTGATGATGATGATGTTGATGATGGCGATGATGATGATGTTGATGTTGTTCATGATGATGATGATGATGATGATGATGATGATGATGATGATGATGATGATGATGATGATGACGTCGATTGTGAGATCGATTGTGATATCGATAGTGAGACCGAACGTGAGATCGATTGTGAGATTGATAGTGATATCGATTGTGAGATCGATAGTCAGATCGATTGTGAGATGATGATGGTGATGATGGTGATGATGATGGTGGTGATGGTGATGATGATGGTGGTGATGATGATGATGATGATGACGTTGACGATGTTGATGATGATGGTGTCCCGATGACGATGATGTTGATGATGATGTTGATGATGGTGATGATGATGATGTTGATGATGATGATGGTGTCCCGATGATGATGATGATGATGATGATGATGATGATGATGATGGTGATGATGATGATGATGACGTTGATGATGATGATGTCGATGATGATGATGGTGTCCCGATGGTGATGATGATGATGATTATTATGCTGATGATGATGATGACGATGATGGTGTCCCAATGATGATGATGATGATGATGATGATGGTGATGGTGATGGTGATGGTGATGGTGATGGTGATGATGATGATGATGATGACGATGTTGAGGATGATGATGAGACGATGATGATGATGGTGTTCCGATGATGATGGTGCTGTTGATGATGATGATGTTGATGATGATTATGGTGTTCCGATGATGATGACTATGATGGTGATGATGATGATTGACGATGGTGATGATGATGGTGTCCCGATGATGATAATGATGATGTTGATGATGACGATGTTGCTCGTCGTCGTCGTGAGATCGATTGTGAGATCAACTGTGAGATCGATTGTGAGATCGATAGTGAGATCGACAGTGAGACCGAATGTGAGACCGAACGTGAGATCGATTGTGAGATCGATTGTGAGATCGATAGTGAGATCGATAGCGAGATCGATAGTGATATCGATAGTGAGATCGAATGTGAGACCGATTGTGAGATCGATAGCGAGATCGATTGAGTGAGACGTTGGTTCCCCCTCCCCCCTGACCTCCTTATCACCCGCAGGGTGGTCGTATAGGTAAGGATCAGCAATGTTCCACGGCTACAGTCGACCCGCACAGTAAGGATGAGCGACTTTCCCAAGAGCACCCTTGCATCCTTACCTCCTCGGCCAATCCTTTGTCACTTGAAAAGCTTTGAAATGGACGTCCAAGGCCCTTGCATTCTTATCGCGCATCCTTATGATACGGGCTGCCTGTACCCTTGCATCCTTGCCCCTTCGGCCCATCCTTAGCGATTTTCGCTGGCCAGCCTCGCTCGACAAGCGTTGACATGACCCGCCAAGGCCCGGCCCTTGCACCCTTGATTGCGCGTCCTTATTACACAATTGACTGCAAAGAGATGCTCTCCTAGGCCGTGGCCTGAAACAAAAACATCTCGGTGGATGCCAGGGGCCCAGCTTCGGTTGGAGGGCCTCCTTTCTACTTCTCCCTCCTCGCCCTCCTTGCGGCAGGGGAGGGGCTCACCCGGCCTGCCCCCGAAGCCGGCGGCTCCCCCTCGTCGACAGGGGAGGGCAAGGTGCAGACTCCGCTGCCATCCTCGGGATGTTGGCGCAGCATCTTGATCGCGACGGGCGTTTCTGCCTGGATGCGGGCCCCCGGAGCCCTCGCAGATCGATCTGGCTCGAGCAACGCCGCAGCAAGATAGTGTCTGGGGCTCTGGTCGTGATGCTTCATCCCAACGTCAGGGAAAGGGCCAGTCGAGGTAGCGTCAGGCGCTGCCTGGCGTCTTTCGTCTTGTCTCGGAGCTCATCGAGGCTTCTGGTGGCTCTGGCTGGATCCGCGTCAAGCTTAAGTCAGGACGGTCGCCAGGAGGGGTCTGGGGCTCGATTTTGACTGCATGTGGGCCTGGCGGGAGAGCCGCCGGCTCGTCGTTTCAAAAGGCCTGAATTCGCTTCGAAATCCTGGTCAGAACGCGCCCCAGGGGGTCCTGGGAGTAGCGGTATCGAAGTATGTTGCTGTTCCTTGTTTTTTGCGATTAGCACGGGTGCAGCCCGAGGCAGTACCGTTTGAATTTTGCTTGCTCCTCAGATGGCTCGGCAAAAGTCGGGCGGGTGATAATGGGGGGATGACCTGAACGCGGGTGAAGAAAGGGGCTCTAAAGGAACCTTCTACGCCATTATATCCTTCTCTATCCTCCTCGTCCTCCGTCCTCTTCGTCCTGCGTTCGGGTTGACCCAAAACGGAGTCCAGCTGAAAGGGGGTAGTTGAATCGATTTGGAGCAATTGTACTGCAACTGCACTGCGCCAGAGAGTTACATTGCATTGTATTGTGTTGCAACTGTGTCACTGCACGCAGATATCTAGCCACACCTTTGCGCCCCAGGATGTCCCGCACGCCCCAAACCCAGCAGAACACCCAATCCATCGCACCAGATCTACTGCACCGCCCCGTTGTAGCTGCACCCCCTCTTGGGTCAACCAGATCCATCCTCGCCCATCTTTCGGCGGCGAGCGGGGGGTGAAGTGAGAAGGAGAAGGCCTTCTCAGAAGGTTCGGAAGTCCCATGGCCTTCTGAGAAGTTTGTTAAGCATTCCCAGAAGACGAAACAAGTTTCTCAGAAGTCGCGAGGGCTTCTGAGAAGTCCCGCCGCCTTCTGAGAAGGCCTTCTCCTTCTCACTTACCCCCCTCGCTCGCCGTCGATCTTGGGCCAACCAGATCCACCCTCCGCCCTTCGAGGGCTGAGCAGAGCGTGAATCCTGGACGCCGTGGCGACGACGACGACGACGACGACGACGACGACGACGACGACGACGACGGCGGAGGCGACGACGACGATGCCGTGGCCAGGCCGCGAGGGCAGGCCCAGACTCCGGCCGGGGACGGGGCAGCTGCAGTGCCTACCCCCGTTGGTCGGGACCCCCCTCGGCTCCGACACGACGCGATGGGGAGCCCTTTCCCCCAAACGGGAGCCAGGAGGAGGGGGAGGAGGGGGAGGAGGAGGAGGAGGAGGAGGAGGAGGAGGAGGAGGAGGAGGAGGAGGATGGAGGGTGAGGAGGAGGAGGAGGAGGAGGAGGAGGAGGAGGAGGAGGAGGAGGAGGAGGAGGAGCCCTCCTGCCAAAACGAACGGCAATTTCATGTCCTCCGCCATCTGGCCTTTCCTCTTCTCCCTCCCTCGTCCTTACAGGCAGATGCTTGAGAACCACGCTTCCCACTCGATCCTGTACGAGCGTCACCTTTTGAATTATCAGCGCCACTGGAGGTAATTAAGCTACAAGGCCCATGCGGATTCTACTCAGTCGTGCGGTCGCCGGGATGTCCGCTTCTTATCTCCTGCTTTTCCAACAAAATCTACACACAATATCAACTCAACATTATCAGACTTTCACGCTAAAAGGGGGGTGGGCTGGTTTCTGGGACGGGTCTGATTTTAGCTGTCTTGGAGGGTCCTGGGGGGTCTGGACAAACGGCCGCCCTTTTGCGGCTGGCTTTTTGGGAGGGTCTGAAGTTGTTCGTCTGGGAGGATTGTGACACCCCCCTTGTGTTACGAAAGTTGGAGTGATCAATCTACGGAGCTCCGCGCGGATCTGTGGAGCCGGCGCCGGGCTCCCTTCCCCACCACCTGGCGGCGCCTCAGGCGCAGCCCTCGGCGCGCCCCGCACGGCGTGCATGGGAGGGTGGGCGGAAGGGGCGGGGCGTCCCCAGCGCCAGCCCACCAGAGCTGCGCAGACCTATAGCAGCCCATGCCTGGGGGTCTGGGGCCGTCTGGGAGCCCAGCGTGGACCCTCTTGGGCAGCTCCTGGTGCGTCTTGGGGGGCCACCTGGAGCTCCCGCGAGCAGTCGGGAGCCTGCGCTGGGCCGGCTCGGGGCCCTCTTGGGCCGCCATGCTGCGCTCGTCGGGGGCCCTCTTGGGCCATCATGGGGCGATCGCGGGAATGCCTGGAAGCCGCGTGGGGCCGCTCTGGGCCTTGCTGCTCTGCTTCTGCCTCCTCCTCCCCTTTGGGCCTGGACGTCCTCGCCCCCCCCTTGCTGTGGCTGGTCCGACGCCGCTGCCCTCCTTGTGGGGGGGGCCTCCGCCGATCGCTGACCGCCCACCCAAGCCACCCCCAACCCAACTCGAGGGCGCCGATGTGCCCTCCATTTCCAGCGTGGGGGGGGGGTCGGGGAACATGTCAAAAAACACACATGAGAACCGTACAGTCGGGGCGCTGAGGAAGGAACCCTTTTCGTTGGGGAGGGGTTCGGTGTTCCTTAGTTTTTGTTGCAGTTCGCCTTTGGTTTTGCTTAGGGCTTCGATGGGAAAAATCGAAGTTTAACTCATAGGAAGAAGAGGCCTCGTTCCTTATTTAGGGTTCCTTAGGTCAACGCCCCTTCTGCACCCCGCCAGCCCGAACTCTTCGGGCCTTCGGGTTGGGCTGGGGTGGTCCGCTAGGTCGCCAGTCGCTGCCGCTCGGGGCCCGAGGCGCGAGGCACCCGAGGCCCGAGGCTCGCCCGAGGCTGCTTGAGGCCCGAGGCACCCCGCCTCCTCCCTCCTCCCTCCTCCATCCTCCATCCTCCTCCTCCTCCTCTCCTCCTCCTCCTCCTCCTCCTTCTCCTCCTCCTCCTCCCCCTCCCTCCCCCTCCCTCCCTCCCTCCCCCTCCCTCCCTCCCTCCCTCCCTCCCTCCTCCTCCTCCTCTCCTCCTCCTCCTCCTCCTCCTCCTCCTCCTCCTCCTCCTCCTCCTCTGCCCGCGGGCCGAGCCGCCGCGGCCGCGGCCGCGCCGCGGCGCCCCCCCGCCCGCCGGGGAGGCTGCTGGCCGAGGGCTTCCAGGCCCGCGAGCTGAGGTACCGCGGGGAGAGGTCCGCGGCGCAGGACGCCGCGCCGCGCCGCGCGCCCCGCCCTGCACCCTCCCGCTTGGAAGAAGCAGCAGAAGAAGTATAATAAAAATAATAATAATAATGTTAATAATAATAATACTAATAATAATAAGAATAAGAATAAGAATCATAATAAGCAACAACAACAACAGCTAAGAAGACGAATACTAAGCATACGAATGCTAGTCACAAGATTACTAACAAGCAAAGACTAGCCATACGAACAAGACGGAACATGTCATTGCTAACGCTAATACTATAAAAAAATCAATGCTAGTACTAACAAGGATGATGATACTGATACTACGAATAATGATACTAATAATAAGGCGATGTCGACGAATATTACTATTTAAGTACAGGGCTAATATTAATAGCATTCGTAAGACAGCTGATTATGATAATAATACACATGCTACTAATCATAGCTTGAATGAATGATGGATACGAATGCTACGATTACTCTTAACAAGTATGGGCACGTATTACTGTTACGTAAGAGGTGCGATATGAGCATAAGCTTCTGGAGCATCCCGACCGCCCTTGTCACGAGTACGAGAACATGTTCGGCCGCTGGGCGTTCATGCTGGTGTCTTGTCTCCTGTCAAGTGTCTCCATGAGGGCTTGCCCGTCGAAGGCAGATGCTTGATGGTTGCACCGTGCTCAATGCGTCTGTCGTTGCCGCGACGCGTGCGTCCCTGGGGGTACGCTGGCGTCCTTCTTTCGGAGACCAAAAGCACTAGACGGTAGTACCCTACAGGAGAATATACGTTCGGCTAGTCTGAGTGTCATCCTCATCGTTCTCCTTGCGATTGCGGAGGCTCCTTTCTTCTCCCCTATCCACTCTCCTTGCCGGAGGCCCCCCTCCCGCCCTCTGCTCCGCCTCCTCCTCCTGGCTCTCCCCCCACTCCACCACCTCCCGAACCCCCCTTGCAAGGGCACGCGCGTCGATTGTCCGAGGGGCCGACACGGCCTCAACCGGCGCTTCCTTCTCGTCGGCCTCCTCCTCTTTCTCCTCCTCCTCCTCCTTTCTCCTCCTCCTCCTCCTCCTCCTCCTTCCTCCTCCTCCTCCTCCTCCTCCTCCTCCCTACCCTGTGCGCGCAACAAGCTGCTCAGACGCACCAGTGCCATTCGCCGCGACGGCTCAAGTTCGAGACTTCCTCGCGGTTCATTCGCGGACGAGGCTCCCGCTCGAGACTTCCTCCAGATTCAGGCCTGAGGAGCCCAAAAGTAGCGACAGTTACAGAATCTGTTTGTCCCGCTCGGGTTCCATCATGGAGGCGGGGGCCCCATATGAAGGGGTGCCCCCTGGAGACCTTCTTGCAGATTCAGGCTTGAGGAGCCCAAAGGTGACGACAGTTACAGGATCGGGATGACCCGTTCGTATTCGAACATGGAGGTGAGAACCCCATAGGGAGGGGGCTGCCGCTCGAGAATTTCTCGCGATTCACTGACGGACGGTGCTCTCGTTCGAGACCCTCCAGCAGATTCAGATTGAGGAGCCCACGAGTGACGACAGATGCAGGATCGGGATGACCCGTTCGTATTAGAGCATGGAGGTGGGGACCCCATAGGGCGGGGGCTCCCGCTCGAGACCACCCTCGCGATTCACTGACAGACGAAGTTCCCGCTCGAGACGCCGACAGATGATTGTGTGAGTGAGTGCGTGAATGTTCGCGATGATGATGATGCTGATGATGATGATGATGATGATGATGATGATGATGATCATCATGGTCATGATCATGATCATGATGATGCTGATGATGATGATCATGATGATGGTGATGGTGATGGTGATGGTGATGATGATGATGACGGTGGTGATGATGATGATGCTGATGATGATGATGGTGATGATGCTAATGGTGATGATGATGATGATGATGATGATAATGATCATGCAGATCATGGTGATGGTGATGCTGATGACGATGATGCTGCTGATGATGATGATGAAGACGCTGATGATGTTGGTAATGCCGGTGGTGGCGATGATGATGTTGATGATGTTGATGATGATGATGTTGATGATGATTGTGATGATCGTGATGATGATGATGACGATGATGATAATGATGATGATAGTTCTGATGATGATGATGACGATGATGATGATGATGATCATCATCATGATGGTACTGATGATCCTGATGATGCTGCTGATGATGATGATTTCGAAGATGATGCTAATGGTGATGATGATGATGATGATGACGATGATGATGATGATGATGATGATGATGATGGTGGTGGTGGTTGTGGTGGTGGTGGTGGTGATGATGATGATGATGATGATGATGCTGATGATGATGATGATAATGATAATGATGATGATGATGATGATGATGATGATGATGATGATGCTGATGCTGATGATGATGATGATGATGATGATGATGATGATGATGATGATGATGATGATGATGATGATGATGATGATGATGATGATGATGTTCTGGGTATGATGCTTGACCTTACGCCACACCGCCGACCCCTTTGGGGAAGTGGCGGTTGTTGCGTGCTGTTCCTGAGGGCCTCGTGTGCGCCTTTGGGGGGCTTCTTGGAGCTCTTTTGGGGCTTCATGGGGGCCTGTTCGGGGCCCCTTGGGCTGATATTCTCAGCATTCGCCGTGCAGGCATGGGGAACGGGGTGAGAACCCGCGTATACAGACGGAGGGCATCTGTTAAAATACCCGGCGACGGATTATCGAATGGCCTTCGGCAAATCCCGCCACCGCGCTTGGGTTGCGGATCTGAGGCCACTCGGGTGGCTGATGGGGTCTCATGGGAGGCGCCTCGGAGGCGTCTTGGAGGCAGTTTTCCCGCCCCTCCTGCGTTGGGTATTCGTTTCGACTAGAACACTGCCCGCGCGTCTTCCCCTTCTCCCGCCCCCTCCTCCTCTCCTCTTCACTCCTGCCTCTCACCTCGTTCCTTCCTGCGTGCCAGCTTGCCTCCTACCTGGCCATGTCTGGGGGGCTGCGATCTGCGAATCCATCGCCACTTTCGAGGACTGCTCGGGGGTCCAGCGGAGTGATGTCCTACCCAGACCACCGGGAGATCTCCCCATCTCTGTGGGGCTGCGATCTGCGAAGCCATCGCCACTTTCGAGGGCTGTTGGGGGTCCAGCGGAGTAACGTCTTACCCAGACCACCAGGAGACCTCGCCATCCCTGTGGGGCTGCGATCTGCGAAGCCGTCGCCGCTTTCGAGGGCTGCTGGGGGGTCCGGCGGAGTAACGTCTTAAGCGGACCACCAGGAGAGCTTGCCATCCCTGTGGGGCTGCGATCTGCCAAACTATCGCCACTTTCGAGGGCTGCTGGGGGGTGCAGCGGAGTGACGTCTCACCCAGCCCACCAGGAGACCTCGCCATCTCTGGAGGGGGCTGCAATCTGCGAAACCGTCGCCGCTTTCGAGGGCTGCTGGGGGGTGCAACGGAGTGACGTCTTACCCAGACCACCAGAAGACCTCGCCATCTCTGTGGGGCTGCGATCTGCGAAGCTGTCGCCACTTTCGTGGGCTACTGGGGGGTCCGGCGGAGTGACGTCTTACCCAGACCACCAGGAGACCTCGCCATCCCTGTAGGGCTGCGATTTGGCGGAAGAGGGGGTGGAAGAGGAGGAGGAGGAGGAGGACGAGGAACCAGGAGAGGAGGTCCGGCACGTGCTGCCGTGGCGGCGCTTGCGCGTTTCTTGCACTGATTATAAGCAGGTTGAATAATTTGCTCGAGCGCCGCGGCGACATGGCGCAGGCAGCGCTGCATCTTTAGCGCACCACCGACAAAAGCAACACTCTTCGGCATCCTCCCGTCACTATCGTCGTGGTCCTCTGCCCCCTGCCACCTTCCCTCTGCTGCTGCCGCACTGACGGTTCGGCCCCCCGCGCGTCCTTCTCCTGCCCTTCGTTTCCGCCCCCGTGTCCTCCTCAAGCCTGGGCCCTCGCTGCTTGTCCTTCTGTTGTTGTCTTGTGAATCGCACCACGTGAGCGCACCCCCCGTAGCTTGCACAACATATAACGGCGCCTGCACTGTCATTGTCCTGGCAAGTTCGGGCCGCGCGTGGGGAAGCGGGGGAGAGGCCACGTATACAGACAGAGGGCATATGTCAAAACACCCGACGAAAGATTATCGAATGGCCTTCGGCACATCCCGCCACCGTGCTTAGGTTGGGGGTCTGATGTCGCTCGGATGGCTGATGGGGTCTCGTGGGAGGCGTCTCGAGGGCGTCTTGAACGCAGTTTTTGAACCTCTTGGGGCCTCCTTGGGGCCTCTTGGGGGCTTCTTGCGGCCATCTTTGGGCTCCCTGGGGGCCTGTTTGGGGCTCCTTGGCGCATCCCAGAGGCGTCTTGGGGTGGATGTCTCGAACTGTCCGTTCGGGTTTCCCCTTCTGGACCCCCAGGAGGCCATCCTGGGCCGTTTTGGGGGCTTCTTGGGCCGTCTTGGGGCCCTCTTGGGTCGTCTTGGAGCATTATTGGGGGCCTCTTGGCCCGCCTTGGGGCGATCTGCACGGCCTTTCGGACGCCCGAGAGGCGAATGTGCCAAAAATGCACGTTTTCCCCGGGGAATGGGACGATTTGTGTATCTGGAGAGCCTTTTGGGTTTTTCTTGGGGCGTCTTGAGGGCCGCATGGGCTTTCGGGAGGCCAGTGGGAACATTGACTCTGCGATTCGGGGCCGTCTTGGAGATGTCTTGGAGTCCTCCTGGCCCGTTGTGACGCCGTCGCTGCCACCCTGGCAGAAATTCTGCAGCAAAGCACCCCCCTCAAAATCGACCAGATCCGACTCCCTGGGGAGGGGTTTGGGGAGGGGGACGCACCTCACACGCCGATTGGACCCCAAGGGTCGGCGGATAATGACGGTGATGATGGTTGTGATGATATTGATGTTGTTGCTGTTGACGACGACGATGATGTTGATGGTGATGGTGGTGGTGATGGTGGTGATGATGAGGGTGATGGTGGTGGTGGTCGTGGTGGTGGTGATGCTGATGATGCTGATGC